TCATCAGCTGAGCAATGATACAACACTGGGCCGGCGAATCTTTGAGAATTTCTTTCTGATGGGATGGCCTCAGGTTCCTCAACGAAACTGATGAAAGAACCGGAACGTAGGGGCCGAACACAACATAAAGCCGGGCATATACGAAGCATACAACGCGGGCCATCAGGTGAACACTCTTATCAAATGTCTGGCTCCACAAGGAGATCTCTCTCAAATGGTGAACCTGCTTCCTCTGCTTTTCCAGTTTTTCTTTGAAAAGCTGGAAATTTGGCCTGCCTTGCATGGATGGCCCCTTGTGCTTCCATTGACTCAGCTTCCTCTCGGAGATTTCCAATTCCGCAAGAGCATCCAACGACGAGTACAAACTCGCAGTGGCAGCGATCAATTTCTCCATCTTCTGAACCTTCTTCTCAACGTGTTTCGACCCGTGTCCCAGCTTCCACAAATCAACGATGCCCAGCTTGAGTTCGTTGTAAACGAGGTCGAACCGTTTCAACCCGATGTCCCTGCATTTCTGGCCCAATTGAGCCACGGCAGTTGCAGTTTTATCGAGATCTTCAAGCCTCTCTGCGCAAGCAAGGCCGAAAAGAAGGCCTTCATCCATAGAATTCAAATACGCAATCCCCTGAGATGTGATTACCTCACGTGCAAGCCTGGAAATCTGGTCATGAGAAAGGGATTTATACAAGGAGACTAATTTGGACATGGTCTTTGCAGTCTCGAACGCGAGGATTCCTAATTGGTTAGATTTCTGCACATCGTCACCATGTTTTCGAGCGCTCAACTCCGAGAGCCAACCCATGGTTTTGAGAGCAACCGTTTGACGACAGGGGCGATGTATCTGATATTACTAGTTATTTGATTTGGTTCTTTTTGGAATGGCGGGGTGAGTTACTTCTGAGTGATGAGATTGAGGCTTGAATTAGCGGGTTATTTAAGGAGGAAGACTGGTCTTCAATGCAGGCGTGAGGGTGACGCCTTTGGCACAGTTGTGGGAAAAAGAGAGACAGAGAGAGCCGGGGAAGAAGGGGGTGTGTCCTGTTAGGAACTTCACGGGCGGGTGCACAAGGAAACAGGGGAAAATGGTGGTGTGGATTTCAAGGATGTTCAGACTCAGGGGTTGACCACTGATTGCCGCGTCAGCAGAATCTCGTTACAGTCAGTTGGAACTTAAGACTCTGCATTTCCCTTGTTCCGAGTGATTATTTCACATTGCATATAATTCAAGCGTCCACACAAGTGATAAGTGCACTGGATGGATCCTCTGTGTCTAATTTGTTTCCCTGTCCAAAGATTGGACAGCTCAATTTTGTCAAATAATTTTTGACTTATGCCGTAAACATATTTTTTCAATTTATTATTTTATATTTTTAATTATTTTTTAATTTTATATATATTATATTACAAAAAATATTACAATAATTATTTTAAATAATACTCTATTCAAACGTTCTCATTATTATTTGTGGGCCAGTCTATTTACTAGATCTCAATCCAATATTCTGGTTTCTCGCAGCTAGAGCCGGCAATACCATGCCTGTTTTATTATTCCTCTTTTTTTAATCTCTCTGGTTTTTTGTAACTTCAGGTGTCTTTTAAATTTCAATTTTCTTTCCAAGTGTCTTAGTCAGCTACCAGACCCTCAATTTCCAGATTCAAATCAGGATTCCGTGTCAATTGATATTACTTAGTGTCTGCGCTGTTTGTTTCCACGGCCGGTGCGCGTTGAACGTTTCTAGATATATTTCGCTCCTCAAATTATTGTGACAAGTGTCTCCAAGCAGGACTAAGCACGACGAAAAACATTATCGGTCCGGTCCATTCATTGAAGCCGACTGGTGACAACTTCGCCGATGAACTTTTGACTTCATATGCTGCTTTTGCTTTAGACTCGACGTTTGTCATGGGTCGTCCCATCTCCCTCCTATTTCGTGTCGAAAGGAAATGTTACTCCTACTTGACTCGGCCAATCAAAAGAGTTACGCAATGGCCCGATCAAAGATTTTTTTTTTTTGAAGGACCGATCAAAGTAGGTCCATGGCGGTGGACCAGGGTTTAACAGGCCAAAAATGCTGCAGGGAAATTCCGAAGAAAGTTGAAGCTTTGAACATTTCAAAGATCCTTTCCTTTGTTTTTTTTTTTTTTTTTTTCTCATTTTAAAGAGCATGTGCTTTGCTTCTAACTTCTAAAGTAGTACTCCCACTTATTTTGAGACGCATGAAAAAAATGTGTTCCTTTTTCCTGCTCTTTTTTCTCAATCGGGAAGCAATGTGAATCTGTCAAATACTCCTATATCCGGAGTTCTCTTGGACAGAATCAAATCTTCATTCCTTACAATTTTGAAGTGTGACCTAGACAGGCTAGACTTTCACAACTTGCTAAAAATGAGCCTAACCTATAAAATTTTAACAATGTAGCAAGTTATACGGTAATCAATTTTCCATGGAACATTAATAATGAGGGGTAATCTGGAACCTGGACTTCAATTGCGTTGGATGTACATGTAGCAAGCCCAAAGACGACGAAGGAAGGTGGAAGAGGGACTGGATTTTCATTTTTTGCGAATAATCTGTCGGAGCTTAAGGGCCCGTCAGTTGTCAATGAACTAGTCTTGGTGGATACTTTATTACGTATCTTTGATCCTTTAGCTAAAAATCGATTGAGCTTCGCAGCGTAAATCATATCTTGCAAAGGTTGAGGGGAAATACTCTTAATGACTGGCTTTCTTCTCACGATTAATAGAAAAAATAAAAATTGATTGTCTTAGCTTATAATGCTGTATACTAAGAAGTACTAATTTTTTCTTGGGTCATGAATGGGCACCCAACAATGTAAAGTTGGGCCTTTAGACAAAAGTCCACTTTATGGGTCCAATGCCATTTTAGTTCGACATAGTCTACCTGTATATGTGTGAAACCATAATTGGAACCGAAATAGGATCAGAATTGAAGGCTCAGTAACCGTAATCGTAACGATCCCTATAAAGATCGATATATGCTTTGTATCTTTTAGAATAATTGGAATTGCTAGTTTTTAAACCGAAACCGAAGGTTCTAGAATTGTGATGATGTTTAATTGATGCGTTATTTGGATACTTGAGTTTCCGTATTTGCATTCAACTCTTCTCATAATTTCTCTCTCATTAATGACTTATCCTTTTTAATAAATTTGAATTATATTTTATTATGGTTTTCCTTTCTCTTCTATCAAACTTTATTTTTATTTATAAATTCACTTAATTTATTTTATCCATATGTATTAACTTTCCTTGGTTTTATTTTAATTGTTACTTTACTATAGCTGCTAGAAACTTAATATTTGTTCATTAAAAAAATTTTGCTTTTGCATCTCTGGCATTTAGCTAAATATAAACATATAGTTGTAGTTTTTAATCATATAAAAATTTAATAATCGATTCAAAGATTAATATGGCACTTGAACACTTAATACATTAATTTGATAAAATTAAATGTAACAATATTATATTTTAAATTATTCACACTTGCATATTAGAAAAAAAAAAAAGTGCTAATGTATGGGTTAAAATACTTGTGGGTAATGAAATGTTATGTGTAGTGATTAAATATAGGAACGCAGAATATAGAAGTAAAGGCACAAATTATTATACTAACGACCTAAGACGGAAACCAGGCTGCAGCAATTATTTATCAATAGGCAAATCTACATCACCACGAAGCAGAAATATTCTAAATGTGGACCAAAAACTATATGACCTTCCGGGAGACCAACATAATGCGTGGCTTTCGCGATGATAACAACAATAATGTAATGGGAAATGCAATCAAAAGGTCCTTTGACAATAAAGCCAAACGCCTCCGAGTTTGTCAAACCGTAATCTTCCCCCGCGCACTTAGGTAGACCGGACTCCTAAGTTTGTAAAACCAAATCTACCCAAGATTTTGCTTTAGTTGATAGATGCGTACATTTTGTATTGGAATTGTAAGGCTTGAAAGTCACGTGCTGTTTGACTTTATATTGTAGAAGTGTTCAATTGGCAAAAATCCCCTCCTCCTATGGTTTCCATATGGAATCCGTTTATGCAGAATTGAATGTTTTTTCAAACAAGAGAGAGGAGGAGATATGATACCCGAGCTAGGAGGGAAATCAATCAAGGGGGAACAAGAACTGCTACGCCATATTGGAGTCGAGAATGAATAGTCTTGCTCCATTCCAGGAGCAAATAGCTGAGATCTTATTACGTTTTGAAATCGAAATGGATTTCTTTCGTGTTTTAGGAACTTATTTTTGGCACTTTCATAATTGGGATGTTGGAGTACACATTACATAAAGAAGATGCAATACTTATATATAATTCTAGTAAGTGCGCTACTTTAGTAATGAGCATAGGAAGGAACAAAGGCTAAAAAAAAAAGGACATCCCAAAAAACAGAAAAAATGCAGGTTACACGTTGAGGAAATCCAGGCAGTTCAACAGGTTCTCCCTTCAGGAATCGAGGCAAGGTGGGAGCAGGAGGTATAATCAGGGATGGTTCGTTCACCTGAAAGTTGTGGCAGAGCTATGGGGCTAAGGGATGGCCTTGAATTAACCCTTCTCCTTGTAACATCCATTTGCTCCATACCAATTTCAGAGAGACTGTAACTTTAATTAATGGCACTCGTATTGATACCCGTGAATTTGTTGCCATTATTTTTTTCTAATAATTCTAGATTTCTCGATGCATCAGTTCTATCAAATCAAGATCAAGCAGAAGTGCGGACTAGCTGCCAAATTTAGTAGGATATAGGTTGTGGAAGTCCCTTTCGTTACTTTTCGTAAACTGTCCTAATGAACTTTTAGCCTGCCTTATTAGAGGAAGAGGAGGATTTGAGGCGAGTTTGTCTTCCCCGAACCGACGACGTTTAAACTTATTTAGTGTTACCGCTACTCTTTAAAAATTCCCAGCCCCCGCTCCTCCTCCCCAACAACCCCCCTCCCACCCAAAAAAAGAAAAAAAAAAAAAAGAAAGGAACAACGTGGAGAATGTACACGTATGACGTTATGTTTCCAGAATTGTCGGACTTATTTGGCGGCATATGAACTCCTTTCCACACGGGTATCCTTTGGGAACAAAATGTTCTCCTATGAAAGTCATCCGGAAGTTGAACTTGCTAACCATCGTCCTCAGGGGGGTGTTACCGATTCCCACCGACTGCAGCCCCTTATTTCCATCCGCACAACGCCGGCCCTGTCTCCTCCGTTGATCACCTCGCAACATTGTCTACGTGGTGCCTGCCCATTAAATCGTTAAAAAGCCTTGTAGCAAATTACGTAATGAAGCAGTAAAAGTCTAAAGAGATTAAGTACAAGTCAGCTTCAAACTCCTATACGAGCATGATGCGCGCCTCCATCATTCCGCAGACGACGGAGTTATTGGCATCATGGATTGGATTCATCATCAAGAAGAGTAAAAGTGAGCGGTCCACTCCACTAACGACAGCATTATTTATACTATTTTTTTTTTCTATTTAGTTGCATCACAAATATATTTTTAACACTAATTATTTTAAGTAATATTTCAAATAAAATAATCATATCCAAACACGCTCAAAACACCTGGACTGAGTGTATTAGACAACCCTTCAACTAGGTAACAATAATATAATATGTAATATGATGATTTTAAACAAATTTCTTTCATGTTTCTTCTTAAGTTCATCATGCTATTGATCCATGGAAAAAGAAAAAAAAAACAAATAGGGAGGAAAAAGATGCTTAAAGTAACTAAAAATACGCAAGTTTAAAAAAAATTAATTAATTAATTTTTTACCTTCTTCCATATGTTGGGATCTAAAATGGGCGCAGAGACATTGAACATCTGAACGGACAAGGCAGGACGATACTTGCCGTTCCCACATTGTTTCCTAGGCTGCGGAGGCCTCAGGTACGAAGTCATGGTCCCACCATCACCAACCTTCGTAACGCCGTCGAAGAAGTACGTGACGGGTCTCTTGCACGGATCCAGGCTGAGGACCCTGGTATTGAACGTAAATGGGTCTTGACTCCAGGACCTCCAAGTTAAGAATGTCTGCAGGGGCGTGGCCAGATCTTTCGCCGTCACCAAGGATGGGTACAACTGAATGGTGTAGCCCCAGGATACGGAAATTGACCAATTCCGCTTAAGGTCGTAGCAGAAGCTGTGTTGCAGCGCCCGACTTGGGTCGGACCTGTAAGCCTCAACCAGAATCTTGACGGAGTCAATGCGATTGGTGCCCGGAAACAGGGGCTGCACGTAGTCCAGATGGTGCAGTGACACCAGTGGCGCCAATGGGTGCGCGGCAAGCAATCCATACGGGTTTCCACGTATGTCCAACTGATTTGATAATTCCACCAAACCAAACAAATATCTCACCACCATGTTCAAGGGTATTTCCGTAAATACAATACGAAGAGCATTTGATTCCTAAAACAACAGATAAATTTATTTTTTTTTTTGTAAAAAAAAAAAAAAAGAGGCACCAATCTTTTTAGTTTCCCAAGTTTACATTTATTTCCTGAATTTGTTTGTTTGTTTGTTTTTTTTTTTTTTTTTATAAAAAAAAGGCAAATGATGACCAAGAATTGTATCATGTCTGAAAATATTGGAAATGGAATTCAGGGTCGTGATAACGCACCGCCTTGGAAACATCGATGATCACAGGCAGAGACATTGGTACTAAGTTTCCAACAAGACAACAACAATAATAATAACGCCCTTTGATAATTTCCACCTACTAGACCTCCAACCAACAACTAATGCCGACTGTCATTATGTCGGTTGATACGATCGCATCTCATCTTTACCAGGAGGAGATGAGGGTGGTGGGATCGGATATGCAATTACCAGTGCTTTCACATGGAAAAAGAAATCGCAGAACATCATGAATTCCTAATCACCAGTAATTAATTTGAGAGTATTATTAATTTCAAAGAATCTAACCTGATGGAAACCGAGCTCCCTGGTGATTGGCACGCCAATCTCGCTCATGCAACCCCCAATCTTCTGATCAGAGCCGTAGAAAGAGGCGTAGCGATTAATGCAGCCGTCCAACACCCTCACAAGCTCAGCGGCGAGAGGGTAGCTGATGGCGAACCCCCCGCCGCCGTAGCCCATAGTGTAGGAGTGTATCACGTCCTGCTCCACGCTCTCCGAAATCCCACCAACGTAGTACATCTGGTTGTGATCATACTTGCCCAGCACAGTCACCAGATTCTCAGTGAAAAACACCGTATCGTCGTCACCCATTACGAACCACCTTACGTTGTCTACCCCAAGCTCGAAACTCTGCTTCACTATCCGCGCGATGCGCACCGCCGACCGAGACCCGTACCCGCTGGTGTACTTGAACCCAGATGTGTCCTCTGAGACTTTATACGGCGGTGAAGTCTCAGGCCATTTCATATCTTCGGCAAGCTCTTCATCAAGCCAAACGAACCCCCGAGTGATATTGGGCCTCCACCACAGTTCATTGTACCGACGGCGATTGTTCCATGTCTTAGCGGAGCCCCCAATACCAAAAAGAATATGAGAAATCTGAGTTTCTCCATTAGTGTGATAATCACTAGCGGAGTGTACGAGGGGGGCTTGATCCTCACAACCTGAACACCTTCTGTAATTAGTTGTGGTGGAGAAATATGACAAGGCGACGAGAGAGATGGACGCAACGAGGCATACTACAAAAAAGCCCTTCATGAATACAGTCAAAGCATCGGTGGCTTTTAAGGGAGGGAAGAGTATGTATTTCCACGGTTTAAGCGGGTCCTGAACGTTTTCCGGGGATTGAGACATATCTTTTTGGCTTGGCAGTTGGGGATTAACCCAACTTCGAAATGTGAATTAAGAAACCTATCAAAACTCTCTATCCCAGTACACCTGTGAGATAAGAGCTTAAAAGTTTTATGAGGAAGGAGGACGGAAAGTGAATTATTTCCCGTCTGAAACCCGGAAATGGAGCTTTTAAGGGTTTGGCCAACGGCCTTTACAGGCTTTACTGCCAAACCTGTCGCCGTGATTGGGTTTTAAAGGGCCCAGAGGCTCAATGTTGAAAGTAGAGCAATGTCACGTCCAACTTTCCTCCTTGTCCACCAAACCCTCTTTTTTTTGTTTCTAGTGGGGTTCCTGGGTCCAAAAGTTGTATTTTGTTTTCTCACCTCTTGCTGCCAAGTGCCGAGTTCTTAGGGGCAAAGGATTTGTTCCTTTACCAAACAAGAAGGAGTGGAGACCAGGATCAAGTTCGCCGTCATGAGAAAATCTCGGGAATTATAGGCCTGAGGTCAAATGCCCGATTCCTTTGCTCTTCTTAAGTTTCACTCACCGTTCTCTATTCCAACAAAAAAAAAAAATTTACAAAAAAAAAAAAAAACTAAAATAAAAAAACCTTTTCGTAAATCCATGATCTAGTTTCTTAATTGAAGGGGTCCAAGTATTATATGTGCCCGAGGACCAAGACCTCTGAAGTCTGAACTGTCGCACAGGCTCACAGAAATCAAAATGCTGGTTTCAAATGGTATTGCTTCGCATGAAGATGTGGGGTCCGGCGATATATAATTTCCCCTGCCGGCGGACTGCTGAATAAGGAATTTGAATTGGTTAATACATGTCTTCTTCTTTTTTTTTTGGTTGGATTCACATCTGGAGGAACTTAAATTAGGTTCATATCCTTTGCTCTTGCAAATTTTCTAATCGGATATTATAATGTTTAAATTGTCCAACTGGTAAGAAATCAGAATCAGCATGGCCATCTACAGACTACAATGGTGTAGCTGCTGCTTGTAGCTCCTGTTTGCCTTTTTAGGCCTGTTTGTTATTGGGGCCTAATGTTTAACGTTTCAGAATGACCCAAGGAAGGAGAGCAAATGATCCAATCTCTTTGTTGAAAGTGAAAAGAATTCAATTAATAACTGAGTCCAGCCCATGATCAAGTAGATTAGAGGTTTGGCATTACCTCATATCCACACCGAGTGCAATACTCTTTAACTGCAATATAATCTTACTGCAACACTTTCCATGTCTTTTTTTCTTGATTGATGATTGAATTTTTCAGGCCAAATGCAAGATAATATATGTATAGAAAGTTTTTCCCCGCTTCAGATTTCATACGAAATTTGGGGGAGGGGATCGATGAGGACATTTTTTACAGTCGAAATGTCTACAGAATGCTTGAGGCTAGAGAGTTCAACACCGCCATGAAACAGGATTCGGGCACATTCTCCATCAACAGGTTTTTATTTCTTAGTTTCAACTTTCAAGCCCAATATTTGGTGTTGCTTTTGCAGCCCAAAGAAAAAGAGGAACAACCCAGAAAAAAATTTCCTAAAATGTCCTTTACCAATGTCTTTTTTTCTTCTGGAATAAAATGTCGTGCGTTTGATGTCAAATTTGGGAAATGAATCCTCAAAAACAGAAACACTTATTTAAAACCGATACAAAAATTTCACTTGTGGGTGGATACGACTAAGAATATAGCACTCCTCTACCTTTTTCCTCTTGTTTCTATTATTTGAAGGTTTTCCTAAAATATTATTGATGATGATGAAGTGAGTGTAAAGCATCAGAGTTTTATCAATTATTCGACGAATAAAAGAGGAAGAAGAAGAAGAAAAAACGCAAGCAAGTTCCTGACAGGGCCTTAGCCAGTTAGCTCACTTTCCTCGGCCCAATCCAAGACTAGGCCGCGTGGATTGCTACTGATAAGGTCCTGACGCTTTACTCGCTTCCTTCCCTTCCCAAAAGGACCAGTGAGACAAAAAGGAACATTTCTTTTTTCTCTGGAATTTTTGGCCTTGGATTTGCTATTGCATATTCTGTTTTATACATTCGATTTTACACCAGATATAAGGATGGCAGTTTGGATAGGAAATTAATTTTAAAAAAATTATTTAGAATAACCCTATAATATTTTTTGTGATGTGACGTGGCGTATGTGAGACAAAAAATTAGTTGAAAATTATGTTTATGATGCAAGTTGAATAATATTTGAAATTTTCTTTTACAAATTATGCTAATCAAACGGACCTACTTATTTTATCTTTTAATGTTACAAATACAGATTTCTTACATATATTAATTATACGCATCTGCAGATACAGATTTCTTACATGTATTACAAACAAGTTTTTCAAATACAATGCTACAGTAATACACAATAACTCAAAAAACATCTCATCCATACAATATATCAAAATTTTCAAAAAATTTTATAATAAAAATTTTCAAAAATTTTTTATTCATATACACTGCTACAGTAAAATTTTTCAAAAACACTTCCAAAAACAGCTAATCCAAATAGAGTTATAGTTTTTTGGTTTTTATCTTCCACTTCTCCCCACACTTTTTCCACCCCAACTATTAAGTTCAAAATTCAAACCCTAAACTTAACAGCAGAGTAACCTCTATGCACCCTCTCTTAACCACTGTATGTCTAATATATAGGTTGGGTAATACTAGTAGATTTGCAGGAGCCTTTTAAGTTGCTAATTATGGACATAATTTCCAGTGTTGACAATTTGGTTTTTCCTATATGTATTACGAACATTCCTGAGACTGTTGAAAAATGCACCACTAATGGAGAGGTGTGTTTCCACGAAATGATAAGAAGGCACTGTTATGACAGAGACCCCAGTGGTTTTTGACAAACACATTTCTCTTGTCAATTTAGGACATAAGATTGATAAATATCCAAGTATTGTATAAGTCAGGAAAGAATTTAGCAGGAGATCGGGCGGTAATTAATTTCCCCTTGCTTCCCCAACGGCCGCCCACATTATCAACAAAGACTTCCTCCACAGCATCAACTAGACCTCAGTTGACACATTTAATTAAACGTGTCAGGAGGAATTAATCCCCCACCAAGTCACAACTAAGGACTAATGACAAGCTCAAAGGTTTGCGACTTGCAGAATGTTGAGTTTTATGATCGTCAGTAAGTACACTGTTTGCAAGCAGCAACAGAAAACTTTTTTTGTGGTCCATGATCAACAAGTCATTATCTTCCTCTTAATCGGATTTAATTTCCTAGAAACGAAATGCTAACTACCTAATCTTATTGTCGTTGCGTAATGAAAATTCTTATCTGAGTTCGAAGAAAATGTCGTACCTCCTTTGTTGTAGAATACAAGACGTCTGCATTTCTTTGTAAGAGTTGAAATAAAAACCACAATAATTAATGCAATGATAGCAAGGAATAAAATGTAGTAAACGAACAAATAAACTCAAATTACGAACAATTCTGAGTCTACATGAAACCGGAGAGCACTAACCTAATCGTGTGTCTATGGCGATACTCTATAGATCACACACTTCTGCTCCACAAATGTTTCGGGCCTGCAGTCGTAGAACTAATGTGAACAGCATAGTCTTCTTAACGACGATATCATTACACAAGCGCATGGTAAAATTAATCAGAGGTTTGATCAGATAGAACGGCAAGTAGACCTCTTTAATGAACCCTTGGCATCATATATAGCTTTTTTTTCCCTTCCTCTTTCGACAAAGGGATCATCCCCTTTTTGATGCCTGGTGAGGTTCTGGGCCAAGTCGAAGCTCGAGGTCTAATTCTTTGAATGATTCGCCATGACTCGACTGCCTGTTAAATGGATTGCTTTCCACTTCGTTGTTGTTTGATGAGGATGTCTCAGCGAATAAGGATAGTTGCAGCTGATCATTCCCAGTATAATCATGATAAATTTCTTGATGATTTGGTGAAGTAGAAGCCCTTGTAGTTGTTGGGGGGCAACTTCTTTCATCTCCAGAAAGTTCAAGTTGCATCACTGTATCATGAAATTCTACGGAAGGAGAGGGTGGATTAGGATTAGGTGCCGAAGCCGGAGCCGGAGCTGAAGCATCCCGCTCTGTGACGTCCAATGAAAAAATATTGTTGTCGCGGCCCGCGAATTCTTTGAGCTTTGCCCTATCTTTTCTGTGGATGTTCATGTGGCCTCCCAGTGCCTGAGCATTAGAGAATCCTCTTTTACAGAAAGAACAGCTATAACCCCGGGCGTGGCCGAGTAAATCTGGATCGCCAGAGCTCCATGTTATTTGATCGGCCTTTTTAGCATTCGACAGATCGATCTCCATGTCCAGTAAGTTTCCAGCAAGAAGGCCTAGGTCCCGGAGGGAATTGAGCGGAGTCTAGGACGAAGAGGTCGTCTATTTAATAAATGGTCGGCGGTATTGCAATTGAAAAACTATAACAAGCGTGCATGATTTCGTAAAGCTAACTTATACTCATCTTTGTTCTTTGAGGGCCACATTAAAATACAATAGTGTCAATCTTCTCCTCAAATGACAAGACTGCCCCTTCCATGGGTTCGTGCGCTTTATTTCCCAAAATTTTTCAATAAAAGGATCATTATGTTTCAACACTAAAATAGAATCCTACTTTTGACCCTGAAAAACGTACTTCGAATCTTCACAATTTGCAAGTGATTACCGAGATCCAACATAACTCTTGAAGCTTCACGTTTAATATATATTTTATCTTTCTCCTCTTGTAAATTTACAAGTATATGCTAGATGTAATTGCAAATTGAGCGATTAGAGGAGACACATTTTCTCCTCTTGTAAATTATAATGATCTTTCTTCTCTCTTGGGACATCTGTCCGTCACACAGGACTTGTCTAGTACGTTTTACCCCTTCATATGATTGACGGGCTATTGCACGAGACATGATTTATCCAATGTACAGTTTCAGGTAACGACTGCGGATTCCCTTGTCAACAAAAATTTTTTTTTAACCCATTAATTCGACTTATTCTCCCATTCTTTCCCATCAGTAAATTATTAACAAGGCTTTTTGTCCCTTTTTGCTTTCCAAAATCAATATAAATACTCCTTTTTCTTTGCCCCTTGATCACCTTAATGTTATTCTACTCCTCCGATATTTTGGAAAGGGAGTAGGGCCTGAGGTTTGTGGGAGAAGCTCGAAGTGTTTGAACCTAATTTTTATTGCTAATGTGATGTTGGATCGGACTCTAGTTTCTGTTGGCAATGCCACGTCAAAACTCTCTCTATGAGTTCGTATGCCCTTTTAGATTACTTTTCCAGTCTTTTTAAATTCTTTTCCTGTTGTTCTATCGAGTGGTACCCTGAACATTTAGAGAGTTCTTTAAAAAATTGAATTTCCAATTAATAGTTTCATCTAACGCCTAGCTATTCTCTTCATTTTGGGGTCATCTGCGGTGGCTGGTGGTCGCATGTTTGGTAGATAAAAAATTTCCGCCATGCCTCCTAGACTTGTACATTTGTACAAATCGGAACGACAGATTGCTTACCTACCAAAAAAACAAAAAAACCACGTAATAATACTACTTGATACGTACAAATAAGACTTCTACATGCTTCTACAAATTCCTACCACTGGTCTTTATGGTACAGTAGCAACGAAAAACATTTTTCGGTTTCACGAGTTTAGGCTCTAGGACATAGAGGGAGGGGTTGCACTCGGTCATGTGCATAAGATTGGGGCTCCTTTGGTTTAATTAACGAAGTTAGATTTTCCCTTGTAACCACCACCACCACCACCAACCCCCCCCCCCTCCCCCGGGGGTTGTTTCCTTTTTTCTTTTGGTTATTAGGAAGCTGAAGCTGCCTTCCAAAGTCTAGGAGTAGGACCAGTTGGGCAAATGAATCTGATCGACATTGAACTTCATCAAAGATGAATGAAGATAGGCTTTATTTATTGTTGGGGAAGAGCCAAGAGGCATAAGATCTACACAATCTTGATAAAATCAGAGGCATAAAGGCTAACACGAGGGTATACCAATGTTTTAAAAACCGGACCGTTAATTGAACCGATGAAGTGAAAGGGTCGAGGTTCAATCGGTTGGACCGGTTCAATGAATTTTTTTTAAAAATAATTTATATAAATATATATGTACAAAATAAGACATGTAATGGACTAATTTAATACTTTATATGATGAAAAGTTTACTATTTTTTAATAACTTAGATTTTTAAAAATAAATTTTTTAAATTATAAGTTAAAACAAATAAATTTCATCTCAATTTCAATTATATCTAAATCCAACCCAAAAATATCATAATATTTTGAAATTATACAAAATTTACGTCTATGAGAATTTAGATATTGTGAACTTAAATTTTAATTTACGTTTTGGGATTTAGAAATTGCAATTTAAAAAAGAAAGTTTGGAGTTCAAAGGAAGTCAAAAAAATCGAAAATAGAAATGTAAACTTGATAAGAAACAAAAAATGAGATAAAAGTGAGTGGTTGTGACATTAAATAATTTGGGTTAAAAAATAATTCTTTTTTAACTTTTTTCAATTTAATGGACAAAAACAAAATTAAAAGATGGAAGAAAACATCAATAAATTAAAAATAAAGAGGTTTGATTAAAAAGGGAGTGGCAAAAGAAAAGAGGATAGAGAGAGAGAGAGAGAGAGTTGAAAATTAAAAAGAAAGAACCATGAGAGGATGAGATTTTATAAGAAAAATGGAAAAAAGAAATATGAGTGTTTACTTTATATAAATAAGTTATCAAAAAAAACAAATAAGATGTGATGGTGCAACGGTTAATACATTGGTCTTCTATTACAAAGGTCTTGAATTCGAATCTTGATAGCTACATTTTGTAAAAAAAAAAAAAAAAAAAAGAGGGAAGGTTGAAAACCGGTTCAATTCGGTTCAAATGGCAGTTTTACGGTTCGACCGATTCTTGACCGATTTTCTGACAAAGTTAACTATGACATTGAACCGGACTGGTGCCATGGCCGGTTTGCGATTCAACTGGTCGAACCGGCCGGTCCGGTCCGATTTTCAAAACATTGGGGAATACAGCAGTTGTACCAACATTTAGCAAATTGATTTAATTTCTCGTAATAGTGAAGAAAGCAATGCCATGCGCGGTTTCAGAGCCAGTAACAAATGTTGCATTATTAAAATTTCTTTTTTTTTTTATAAATTTCCTGGTGGCTTATAAAATTTGTGGCACCATGAGGGAACAGAAGAAGTCGGAATGGCGAATGATACTTTAACAACCGCCAAAGGACGTCATTAGAGAGGAGACTTATGGCGTATTTGATAATCAATTCAGCGCTTAAACTTAATAGAATACGATTTTAATATATTTAGATCGTTTGATAACTAAAATTTGAACATTTGAATTAATTAAGTAGCACTGAATTTTCCAGGCAAAATTACTCCCAAAATTAAGTGATAAACTATTCACTTATTACTGAATGTGATATGCACTTAAATATATTGTATTTAATACTTAATAATTCAATAATTTAATAGATTCATATTTCAAATTTTAGATTTAAAAAATGCAACCTTAGATAGACAGAACAAATACACTTGCGCGACCAAGTAGGGAATCCCGTGGAAGACAACCTGGACAAAATCTCCGCCCTTGCACCTCCCCTTGTTCTGATTAGTCATCATAAGAGCTATTCTCAAGCCTTTTGCCTTTTCCCATATAGCAAAATGCTACTGGCAGATGTTCATATATTGGAAAGAGTCGCTTGACAAAGTATTATGTACTAATTACGTGTAAATGCGCCTGCAAAGTAAATCGCGGATGTAAAAGCTGTCGCTAGGCGTGACGAGTTAATTAGAGGCAGCTGATGTGGTGCCAATCCCATTTTAAGCTCATTAATTAATAGACATGCTTGGAAACCCTGCATGATCATAAACAAGGCCAACGCACCATGATGACCAAATTCCTCATCTATTGCGCTGTGCATTTCATCTTCTCATCAGCCAATGAATCTTGGCTCTAACTCAAAAGCCACCACCAAAATACACACACACACATATATATATATATATATATAATTCAAAATTTCTGATTTTTTGGCTCGATAGTCATAAAAAAGGAACTAAGTTTCTCTTTGGACTGTAAGTCAAGAATTCGAATTTCATTTATAATAAAAAAATTTCAAAGGAGGTGTCAGAACATCCCTTTATCTAATTCTTAAAATAGGATAAATTAAATTATAAGATTATTATGTTGCGGCCAAAAAAAAGAAAAAGTACATGCATACACGGTCGAAAAATGGTGAAAGTAGCCAAACTTTCATTGCACTGCCCACCTCATAGTTGCATGACGTTGCAGCGCGTGGTGTAAATGAGATTTATTGGCATGTCAACATGACGGTATCTCAGATGCTGATTCCTAGTGATGCAAGGGCAAAAAGACTCGAGAGTTGCAATTTCTACGAGCCTTAAATATGCAACAAAAAAGCGTGCTCTGCCTCATCAGGCACGGAAGCAAGTAGAATGCCGTGCATGTGTAGTGATTTATATGCAGAAGTAAAACTTAAAAAATATATATATATATATATATACTGGACAGTGATTCCATGACAGCCCGACCGACTATTTCATCATCATCCGGTGAAAAGGTTTCAAATGTATGTAGACGGCCTGGTGTTTGAGTTACACCTGGAAAGAAAGTAGCCGTATTTAATTATATGGACAAATACATTCATGTTTTTCCACTTTCTAGCACTCACTTCTTCTCCTCTCTTTATCTAAATTTGCTATGCCGTGTGAAGCCAAAGTTGGGCGGGCTGCTGCGTTCGGACTTCGGACGCTAGTCAGTGATAAGCTCTAACTTGTGATAGTGACCTCGCAAGCATTGATGACACTCGTCTCCTTAGCTCAGAATGTTGGTGTTCACTGAACCCAACCCGTATCTGCTAGTTCTATCTAATGAAATATGGGTCAGCCCACATTAATGCACTAGGTGGGCCTGGAGAAAAAGGTGGGAGGCATTCAGCAAAAGCTTCCCAACCAAGAGAGTTTTAAATCTCTATTTAGGTGTAGATCAAGGGTTTTAATCTTTAGGCCTATATTCTAAATATTCAGGTCTGGGTTGATAGTGGTTCAGTCACTTTCGAGTTAGTAAGTGTAAAAGTTAGTAAGTATAAAATAGAATTTATCGTGATCGATAATATTTTAGGTCGGTGGTGGTTCAATTTCCTTCGAATTAGTAGGTCTATAATAGAATTTATCATGTCCAATAATTTTTGCATGACCAATCAGAACTACATTTGGGCCCCATTTGGGATTGCGGTTTTTTATAAAGTGACATTTTTAAGTATTAAAAGTAGTTCTAAAGTGTTTAATGAATATTTTTCCATAAAATTAAGAGTAGAGTTTTTAATGTCGAGAGCACT